CTCCTGGCATCGCTACTAGGAGCAAGGACGCTACTAGGGGCTCCTGGACGATGAGTCAGTGCTTCGATCTTCGCGCTCCTGGACGCCAGAGTTGAAGAGGATCCAGTTCTATCGACACCAGCTTCACTGCCATCAGCTCCTCTGTCAACCACCTCTAGGCCCTCCAAGCTTGCACATGCGACCAGATTTACGACCCAACGTGCAGGCTTAATCCCAAGGGTAGTCAAGGCATAGTCCGTAGAATACACCACCCGCCAAGTTAAGAAAAGTATTGCATCGCATTGAAAGGGAGCAAGAAAGACCAGTTAAGAATCGTACTAGCGTCCTTGCTCCTAGTAGTAAGGCCAGGAGCCCCTAGTAGCTTCTTGTTACTAGTAGCGATGCCAGGAGCCCAGCATCCTTACTCCTAGTAGTATATAAGCAACTATAAGAAGTAGTGGCCCAGGTTGCATGAAGAGCACGCGTCCACGACATGCCAGCCAAGAACATCCCCGAAATCTTCACTTAACGTCGCTGGCAAAAATTGACAGCCATAGGGCATCATCAACTGGAGTTGAAAAGGAATCTTGGGTCCCACATCCAAAGGATTTCTAGCCTGGAAAGGCTCGCAAACCACTCTGAGGATTCTGAGCAGATCACTTGTCAGGGCTGGAGCTCCCACACATACTAGTACGGGGAGAGGGGCTTCCTATTGCTGGAATCTGCGCTCTCTCGAACAGGTCTGAAGCCTACTAAAACATGCATTGGACTGCCAAAGCTTTTGGGCGATGCCTTAGTACTCTAGCCCTGAGATCTAAGCCATGAAGTTCATGACGGCCGGCACAAAAATGTCTCCAGAAATCGAGAGGAACATAGAACAACACGATCCCTGTGCAGGGTGGCAGAATGTGGCCCACGGATCCTGTTTCCGAGGGTTGCTATTCTTGTGGTGTCGTGTTCAGTGTCCAGCGTTGAATTCGTTTCCACCCCGCGTCGTGGCTGCAGGAGCGTGGAGCCGGATGTCGAGGCGGCTGCATGCACTGTGGATGCAGAGGCCCGGTAAAGCGTTTAAGATCATTTAAGCATTGCAATCGAAAGCAGAATTCTTTGGGTATCGCAAAGCCATCAAAATCCATTGTAACGGGAATGATGCAATTCGCATGCCCCACTGCCACCTCGCCCCGAGGGTTTGGATGAACAGGTCTATGCCTCAATTGACGCCCCTGAGGACGGGATGGTCGGAATCTATTGCAACAGGTCAGTGATGCTTTGTGCAAAAGCCAAAGACTAGTGACTGTTTGTTGTTTTTGTTCATTATTTAGTTTGTTTGTGTGTTTTTCTTCGTTTTTCGCAGCTTGTACAATCCACAGCATCCCATATTAATATATATATAATATGTAATATATATATATATTTTAAAGAATACATGGTCTCCGGTTGCAAGTAATTGTTTTGGGATATCATTTTTGGAAAACATATGACAACAGGTCTAAAAAGGTTGCAATGGACCCAAACGGTTCAGTTCAGACGATGCCCTGGTATGTTGTGAATCCCCTTCCAGTTGCGACAAGTTCTTCGTTAGTTTGACCACAGATCTTGGTTAGTCGGTTCTGAAGTTGATTGGCGCGGGATTGACATGTCTTTTAAGTTTGTTTTTGTACGCCATTTCACCAAGCATCAAAGCTGAAACTCACAGATCCTTGGCTTGGCATCCATTGTGCAGGAGGCAGCTATAGAAGAAGCCCAGGAAGCGCAGGCTTTGTTTTCTTGTGTTCAATCAAGACACCTACGCGAACATGTGATAACATAATTGCAAAACCCTTGCCGACATTTTTGCTTGAGAATGACTCAACATATAGACTCATATAGAGGAGTTGCTGTGGCCATCCATAGCCTTTGTCAGAGTATATAGCTGGCACCAACCACAGACACAAACTCCTCGCGACGAACTTGTGTAAACCATTGTAGACCTAGAAGAGTCTAGGATATAGTTGTTTTACATGTAAAAGAATACCTACTAGCGTCCTGGTTACCGGTAGTTAGTTGCTACTAGTAGTAATGCCCTTTGTTACTATAGTAGCATACTAGTAGCGATGCCCTTGTTATTAGTAGCGACCAATAATGGGATCAGCCCATGGCGGCCATGACTCCATGAGTTTCGACCCACAAGTTAAGTGGATGTTTTCTCCACAAAATGCAAATCTGCCCGAATCCATCACCATCATGGGCTGTTGAGGCTGTTGAGGTTGTTGCTCGACATTAAATCACACACTATCGGAATTCTCACCCTTCTTGCCACAGGTTGAGCAAGGGAAGAGCGAACGTCGAAACTTGGACCATAATGGCTATAGCATCCATGCAGTCATAGATTGATTGCACTCGCCACTTTCATGCGCAGCTCAGTTTGCATGGTGCATATGTCAACCAACTGTTTTTGGACCAGGAGACAGTACCTCTTCAAGAATGTCGAAAGTTTCGCAAAGGACGCCTAACCAACGGCTCTTTAATATGTTGAATGCCTTTGACTTGTCACAGCAAATTGACCTTGTTTGTCCTGAATCAAGGTTGGCTACATTGGCATGGCATAGGCATTGCATGTTCGAATTGTTTGTTCTTTGCTTGGCGATTCCCGGAATGAGACTGCGGTCGCGGTTGATGGAAGTTGCTCCAGTTGATGCAAGGTCGGGGTTGCGCCGTTCGAAGCGTTTCGAAGAAAGCACAGCACAGGTCGAAGCGTCTCATGGACCCGGCTCTGATGCAAAACCCGACACAATTCATGACTCGCGCATACTCGACTTCAGGTCAAAGTAATTTGAATATGCGCATGAGGCGCACTTTTCAGTGTATCAAGTAATGTCGTTCGCCATCAGCTGTTATGCAAGGGCTTGCATCAAGTTGGAAAGGTCACAGCGTAAGCCGACAGTGTGGCCGCAATGCAAGAACTCACGGTCCGACGTCCAGTGCGCCTGAAATCGATGGTGTCCAGTGCGCCGTTGGACTTTTCTCGGCTCTCGACTATTTCCCCGGTGCTGTTTGACCTTTGTCTGAAGGGTTCGCAGTTCACGCATCGTGGGTGGTGGCAAGTTGGAGCAGCACCAGAGGTGGTGATCCTACCAGATCCCTCCGGTTCAATACCATAATGTGCGTGTTTGAGTGCATGTATGTTATGAGATGTTATGAGCCCAAACGAACCATGCTAAGACGGACTCGTCGTGAAGCATCAACAGCATCCGGGAAAGCTTGGGGAGCTTCCATATTTTGATATGCTTGACGAGGCAAGGCAGCCAAGATTCGACCTTTTCATCCTTTTTTCCTGTTGTGCCAGGAGCATCGCCTCCCAAACCTGGGCCCCAGCCGCCACCCGGGCCCTTCTGTCCAAGCAGCCCCGGCGGCGACGCTTGGGTCCGAAGGCGGAAGGCCAGCAACATTGATTTGGGTGTGTCACGGTGTGTGATTGAAAAGGGAGATCTCTCCCAGTTTGGCCCCCTGGAAGAAAAATCGAAGAAAAACATCGAACATCCGCTGGGGCCAGGGACCATTTGCTGAAACACATGCGGGAAGAAAGCTGAAACCATCTGGAGATGGGGAAAGCAAACACTTGCAGTGAGGATCCATGTAGTCCCGCTTGGCCTGCAAACGGAGTGGCAACTCTCGATTTTGCACGAAATCCGTCATGTCGACCTTGATATAGTTATAGTATGTTATAGTTGTTTCCTCAATGGTCATTACTTTCAATGGTTTGGGGAGTTCTTTTGAGCGTATCATTCCCATCCCCCCAACAGCCCAAAAGCCCAGAGCCACGAGCTGACCACGAACAGCCCAGGAAGTACCTGCTCGGTGAGCAGCATCACCAACTCGGCGACCACCTCGACGGTTCGGTCCTTGCTGAACACCAAGGCGGTGCTTGAGGATTTGGAGGGCTCCGAAGAATATGATGCCCAGCAGATGAGTGGTCCTTTCAAAACTGAGTTGGGGGAATAGAGGAGAGATGATGAGAGATGATTGAGTTTCTCTTCTGACACTGAGGTTCCTGCATCAACCGGCATCAACCTTTTGATGTTGAGAGGGGCATGAATTGAGAGTTGCTATTATAAGGGGTCCAATTCCAATCGAATCCGCGAGATATTCTGCATGATTGGTATGATCGGATCGCTGAAGGAATATGGGCGCCTTTTGCCAATTCTTTTGGAGATGGAGCGGGAGACTCCGGGTGAGCAATGTGTGAGGCAGTTCTTGGCCGCGCCTTGGTGGGCAACGGCCCGAACTTGTGAAGCACAAATAAAGGGAGGCTGTAGAATCCTGTGTTGCACAAATCGATGGCTTGGGACCCAACACATTTTAGGAACTTGTTCATGTAGTTTCATGCAATTGTTTGCGACGGAGGGCTGTTCCATGGACGCTTGGCTCAGACATCAAGACCACTGGCTCTTTTTTCGGTGAAGCACTGGCTCCTCCAAGCGCTAAAGCTAGACCTAGGAAGAAGATGTAGTTTCAAGATGTCGTTGGAATTGCTGTGAGTCACTGCTGAGTCACTCGTGGTCCCACATGTCCCCCAGATTGTCAACGTACTTGCATCATCTCCCATTTTTTGAAGGTGTTCAAGGACACCGCACGAATACGTCACAAGAATCTGACCCAAACATGTGTTGTTTGCCATTGCCAGAAAGAAATAGACGCGTCTGGCGCACGGAGGAAAACTGCGAGATCAGCCCGTCCTTGCTGGATGCCTTGCCTTTTCTTCGGACCTTGGAAGATCCAAGCTTTCAGTTGTCACAAGACTTCAGGACCGTTTGAAGAAAAGACCGGAGAAACCATTAGAAGGCTGGCATAAGAAGAACACAAAAACAAGTTGAAAGAGACCCAAACAGCTTGCAAATTATAGATGGACGTTTAGCCTCTCAAAAATGTAGCTTGTGTGTGCGTTTCTGTTCTCTGGTTAATTGAGACCTGTGCTTGGCAAGAACGATCCAAAAGATGCAGCTCCATTTGAGGCAAAAAGACCATCCCACCGTGCGCAGACTGTGGGTGACATTTGTGACATTTTGTGACCAATGTTCGACTCTACGCGTGACCATCGCTCTGGTGATCTCGCGCCAGGAAGACGTCAGTATTTCGACACTTTCTGATTGTGCTGCAGGAGAGCCAAGGGAGGATTGATGCTCTCACACTCACACTCACACTGGAGTGATTTCGCTGTATGCACAGTGTATGCCGCGATTGCGTCACTTTTTGTAGATCCAATGCTGGGCCTCCATGACATGTGATGTGAAACTGTTGCATCATCATGCATCCCAGACCTTTGCAACCTCCAACTTCCCTTGGGCAATAGCTCGCCAAGATTGACCAAGCATAAGACCCTGAAAGGCTGCTAAAAGTTGTTTTGTATAAAAGACGTGCTTTGTTTAGGCCATGCAAATTGGACTCTGTTTGCTGGCAAAGTCCTCCGCCTGCATGCAAAGAGTTGTTTGACCGTTGACCTGCTTGAAGAGGGCATCTGAAAAGAATTGAAAAGAGGACACAGAGAAGGACACCACTCTCCCACCCCCCCCCCCCTCTCTCTCTCTCTCTTTGTCTCTCGCGTGCTCTATTCCTTTAGGGCTGACCAATTTGTTGGTCAGAGACCTTCGATTTGAAGAGCAGAGATTGTCAGATGTATGTTCCATCAAGTACCTTCTAATTCATAGGAAAAGAGAATGCACACCGACGAAAACCGCAGTCTCCAGTCGCTTCAGTCACCCAACAACGGTCGCTTCCAAGGAGCTCTCGGTGTCGGACGCCACCTGCGAGCAGAGCTTCCGGCAGCTGAGCCGCCGCGGCGGCAGCGGCGGAGCCCTGCAGCCAAAGTGCCAGCAGCGTGCCCAGCAGTTGTGCATCCATCGCTTTGAGGCAAACATACCATGGAAGGCGCCTGAGTTCTCCGCGGTGTTCGTGGAAGTCGAGTTTTGTGAAGGGTGTGATGGGCCATGAAGTTTGCTGGTTGGATTGAATCAACGTTCTCTTTCTCATGTACCTGCCTGTGTTTGAGGGGAAGAGAAGGAGGTCAACACCAAGATCCACCAAACACAGCTAGCCCAAGTGCCCAAGATATTTTCATACAATATCATACAATCAGAATATAGATTCATAATGATTCATACTAGTATAGTATCATATACCAGCAAATCAGTTGTGCTTCTTTTTTAGAGCCTCAAGTTCTTTTGTGTTCATTTCTGCCTTAGGAATGGGAGGAGGTCTTGTCCGTGGCCTTCCGGGGTGTCTGGGCTGCACTGCGCTTTTCAGGTCGATTGATCCAAAAAGCGAAAGAACCGGAGGTAAAACACATTATTATTGGTTTCAGAGCCCGGGGGGGGTAGGCCGGTAGAAGAGGGAAGTAGTAGCAGAATGTAGCTAGTAGAAACTAGGTGGCTACTACCTTACTAGTATGCTACTAGCACGGACGCAGGATAGCTCACAATTCTTCAAGGAAGCTCCTCCCGCCCTAAAGGCGGCGGGGGGGGGAGCTTCCTTGTGCCTTGTGACTCCACGGGCTGTTGATTCCCGACAACTCTGGTTGAGGGGTTCTTTTATACTTGTATCATCGTATCCCACCTATCTCCTTGTATATTCTCCCGATTGTATCGCCTCCCCCCACTTCACTTTGCTCACTAGCTCAAGCGCTGCCCGACACATACTTTTTCTACTGTCAAAGTCACTGGTACTCTCACCAAGCCTTCTCTTGATTGCCCATCGTGAACCAAAAGACCACTGCACCCTCAGTTGACTGGAGTTGAAGTAGACCCGCATATTTCGACAGCACCAACGAAAATGCAAAACGGATTACCTGAATGTTCCAGGAAATGGGGTTGATTTCATAGCTTTCCTGGGTCGTGATGTGCTAAAGACTGAACATTCGAGAAGCGTTGTGAAGAAGAGACGGCAAGTTTTTTGACAAGAAGCTCCAAACTACTTGTACATCTTCTGTTTATAGTTTATAGTAAATGTATTCCACTTATGTCTCAAGGAAAGAGATGCTGCAGATCCAGATGTTTCCACTCGTTGTTCTCTTCAGGTGCTGGTCCCAAGCTGACCTATACCTCTTGGGCAGTGGCCTGTCGCCGGACCATGCGCATCGTGCGGCTGATCATTACCTTGCGGCTCGCGCGCTGACGCAGTTACCTCATTTGGGGATGGCCCTTGATCTCGGTGCGGTCTACGCGACCGCAGATCTGGAATTGCGCTGCGCGACAGCGCCAGCTCCGCTCGCGACGGCCGCAGAGGCTGAGGGAATGGCCGTGAAGCTTCCGACACCGATGCGAGTTGAAAGGTCGGTAGCTAAAGAGCCAATCATCATATTCTCAATTAGTAACAATCAAAGTGAGAGTTTGTTTACGGTCAATGTAAAGAGAGGATAGCTGATGATGGATGGTTGGACTTTGAGAACTTGCCATTGTCACAGGGTATTTTAGGGTTCTTTGCTAACCTGAACAGGGTTAGTCAAATTGTATTTTAGGGTCAGGGCTAGTAAGGGCTCCTCTCTTTGGTGCGATGGCAGACGAACAGCGTGTAACCGCAAATCCTGAAAGGCTACAGTACGTTTGTTTCACTTTCAAATCCAGAAGCGATTGAAATCCGATTTGCCTCGGCAAGCCTAATACCCGACGTGGCTGTTTGCTGCGACATGCTTGGCGCCACATTGTATATAATTGCACAGGAGCCATTTGCATGCGTGCTTTGTACGCCGTGTCCTGGAAGAAAGTAAGCGAACATGAAAGCTAGAACAAGAACAATCACGCAACTTGCTCCCACACTCTGACACCAAAATGGCGCAAGAGTACAGGCACCCAGCATGAATCCAAGGGTATGGCTGATTCTGATCAATTCTGCCTCAATGCGACAGAGACCGCAGTGTTTGGCTGTTGGCCTTGTTGCACTGAGGACATTGAATCTGCTCTTTTCCGGGGCCAAAGAGTCTTTTTGACAATCGGCTTCCCAGCTGCTGGTTCAAAAGTCAACCGACCATTGTGTTCGAAGTGATCTCTCATGATCACTCCAAGAAGCCGGAAGCGACTGGTGTTCGGTGTTCGGTGGATTTGAGCACTCAACATGTCCAAGACGAGGAACTCCAGGTGTGTGTAGGTTGCTTTCATTTTCAGTCAGTCAACTCCTGTGAGGTTGGTGGGGGTTCCAAGCGCCTCATGACAGCCCGAAAGCTCAGCAGTGGAAACCGAAATAGTGGGGCGGATCTTGAGTGCGCAACATCACTCCAGCCCAGATTCACCTAAGATCCACCAGGAACAGCACAGTAACAGAAGCTTGGGAATTTGAGGTTTCCTCAAGGAATGGACTGGACAAGCGTGTGATTCCCCAAAAGCCTAGTTACTAGTTCTCCTTTCGTTCTCCGCACTTCGACCCTTTTCTCAGGTCCACAAGTTTGGCCATGGCGATTCATGTGGGAAGATTGGTGAGAGGATCAATGTGGCAACTAGGGTGACAAGTGACGAGCTTGTGAGGCGTTGTTCCGCTCTCCCCTTTCCTTTTTGGGGCCTCCACAACGGCGAAAGAAACCATCCGAAGGGAGAGACTGACTTGGTACGACGAACGATCCTCCCTGGACGCCCAGGTGGGCGCGAAGCGGATCCACCGAGTCCATCCGATTCCCCGAGTCCATCGGAGTCCCCTGGACGCCCAGGTGGAGAGCTTCGTGAAGGCTTTGGTGGATGTCATGGGCCCAGCGCAGCGAACCAAACACCTGCCACGGGTTCTGAGGATCCGGAGCAACGGAAAGCTCCAAAAGCGGCGAAAGTATGGTGAAAGCCGAGTAACTGAAATCTGGCAGTTCTATTCCGAAGGTCATAAAGTGTTGTTTTCATGTGTTTGGCTGTTTTTTGGTTCCGGCGTTTTGGCCAACCCCTTTCTCCAGTGTTTTTGGGGTCCATTCCTTTTCCGGAGCACTAGGGGCCCTGGTTTTTCTCGCTCCGTTCGACCGCCCGTGAGGTGGCTGTTCAGGTGATGGCACCCGAGCCTGAGGATGTGCGCAGAGGGATGCGGATGGGCCTTTCGATGGTGATGGGCCACCGATTCCACGAAGAAGAGGGCTGAATCAATCATACCAGAACGCAAGTCTTCCTATATACCAGATTCGTGTGATGGGTGGGAAATCAATAACTGATAAAATTCTGGGCAATTGAAGTGGAGGCTGAATGTGAAGAGGTATATACATATCATTAATATATATATTTGCAGTGAGTAGCTTTACATACCTGCGCCACCTGCCAGGTCTCGAACAGTCTCGAGGACTTTTGCAAGCGCGTCAGGGACACAGGTAACAGCGGCCAAGGCTTGTTGTGTCCCTGGCTTGCCTTGAAGGATGTATGATTCCAAGGGAATTCGGCTCGGGATCAAACCGGGACATTCGTTTTTGTTGGGATATGCATTGCACTTCCTGAATCTGTTTAGTTACATGGGCGGGTGGTGAAACCAGATCAAGATTGGACTTTGGACACACCTGGGTACCGGGGCGGAGTTTGGGTCAAGTGGGTCAAAGAAGATCCCGTGGAAACTTAGCAGGTGAAGATAGCTGAAAAATAGTGAAGATCACCCTGAAGACGCGATGGAAGTGTGTTCACTTTTAGGTGGTTGCCTGTCGCGATGGTGCGGGAGGTGTGTGGCCGAAGGCAAGTGCCTCACCCCATTCTTGATGCAATGCAAACGTATACGTTTCAATCCAGCATGGGTTTATGATGTGTATACAATGTGCAAGGTTGTAACTACTTGTAAGAAATCAATGGACAGACAGGATTCTGAGACCATTTCCTCCTCCTTGCACAGCTTGCACAGCTGAGTGAGTGGGTTTGGAGATATTTGGAGCCCAGGTGATCAGACCGTTGAATGAGATTTTGCTCAGATCCCGCAGTGAGGACTGATATGGACTGGCGGATTCACCGTGAACTTGGCACCCAACAAATTGTGCACATATGCCGTACATACGCGTTTGTGTATGTCGTAGAATTAATAGAATGCACAGTAGCAAACAAAAGTACAGTATATAATTGAAATTGAAGCATAGGGGCGTACTTCAGATGTGTGTTGAAATGTTTTGTCCGGTGATGTCCAACAGCCTCTTGCTTTGCTTCTTGAACAAGTTGTGTTGGCCAGCTGCCAGGACTTGTTGGGGGTATTGGAGCTTCAAGAGAAGCCTGAGGTGAAGAGGCAATGCCGGAGCATGAAGATAGATCGTAACTAGCGTTGCTGGAACAGTTAGTGGGAGCCGTAATTGGATAAAGAATAGAACAGTGGTCAAGTTAAGGTTTAAAGGCCTTGCTTAGCCTCAGAATGCCTCAGGTCTTGCTCAGGCTTCCTGCCCCAAACATAGTAATTAGTAAGATGTAGTAAGACTACTCTATATAGACTAGGTACGAGGATCATGAGTGCACCGAGACGGTGTTATTGGAAAAGTGCCTGAACCTTTCTGCCAATTCAACTTGTGAAACCACACTGATTGCAGGTTATTGCAAGACTGCAGCTTTGGAATTCAGAAGGTGGCCTCATGTTTCATGCACTTGTGGGGAGGGATGCTTTTGTGTCGACACTGGAACGAGATTTACTGTAACAAATGAGAATGGGTGTGTCAACAAGCAGACATGTGTTTATCATTTTTTGGTAGAGATGGTCAGAGAGTGCTATTTTCATACACCCTTGGTCTCATTTAGCAACCAGGTTAGAGCGTGCTGGTGTGTCCAAGACTCCAAAACCGACATGTAATATGCATGTCTTGGTACTGTACATTGACACATGTACATTGAACATTGTTCCAACACACTCCGTAAGTTTCCCTAAGGAACCAGCTTCCCCCGCCGCCTTTAGGGTGGCGGGGGGAGCCTCCTTGAAGAGTCTTGAAGAAGCGTGAGCTATCGTGCTCTACTAGCGGCCTTCCCCCCTAGCCTAAAAGCAAAAAACACAAAAAACATGTATTATGCATCTTCTTTGTGGCTTTGTGGTCCATCTCCCCCCGTCCTCCTCGCCTGCCCAGCTTTTCCTTTGCTATGCCTCGGAACCCACTTCCAAACGGCGATGCCGAGCATGTGTTATGAGTTCTGCAGGAAGACAGCTTGTGAGGGTGTGTGTGTGTGTGTGTTTTGAGCTCAAACTAAACTAAACCAACGTTGAACCAACGTTTTCAGTTTTTTCATGTTTTTTCTTCTTGACAAGTACGACTCTTCGATGTTTTTATTTGCCATCAGAAAAACCTTCCGACCCGCCAGAAGCGAGCGACTGAAACGGCCGCTTTTTGTCCACGTCCGAGTCAGAATGAGTCCATACGAGCCGAAAGAGCCGACGTGCCACCAGGCCAGTCTGGTATTGACGAAGCAGTTGTTGGGGCGACGAAAACTAAAAAGACACCAAAATGATTTGGATCAGACAGCTATTTGGCTATTCAAGGTGATTTGGCTGGTTTGCAACTGAAACGACACCAAGCGACTGTGGGGATGTCCAGCCAGGGCATTTTGGAATTCTGACTCGGTGACCAGGCAGGTTGGTTTGTCCGTGCACTTCACGTCAAGGGAAGCCACAGTGGAAACTTGCAGGACATTGCTTGGAATGGATGTTCTCGTTATTGCCTTTGTTTTATTTGCATTATGCACAGTGTACAGTAATGTTGAACAAGTTTGAGAGAGAGAGATGCAAGACAGGTATTGTCATGCATGCATTGTGTCTTTTCTGAGCTTGTCGTGGATGTGTCATCATGCTGGTTGACTTCGTGTCAGGTTTGCGATTGACTTCGACTTCCTGGGAGAGGTGGCGGGACCCCAGTGCCCGAAGGCGCATGTAGATTGTGATGGACATATCAGATTCATTATCCATTGTCGCTCTCTGGTGCTGCCGTCATCTGTAAGTCAAACAACGCCAAGTCAAGTCCATCGGTAAAGTACCGTGCTCTTTCACAGGCCGATGGCTAAGCAATTGTAATGATCACTTGTTTGGAGTTGATTTGCCCTGGCTAGGAATGCACGAAGGCAATACGGTGTAAGATGGTACAGGTATGTACAAGTATATAGTTCCATTTCAAGTCCCTGATGTACATCATTCTCAGTGCTTCTTGTTTGTGCATCATTCTGCTGGCACATTGGTCCCTAAGGTTAGCAACCTCCCTTTGCAGCGGATGTTCCAGGACAGGGATCCTCCAATGGGTTACATTTGAAGCTAGCCAAGGACGTGAGATGACCGTTCCTCAAACAATACGAAAACGGTCGGATGCGACCAAGTCTCACCGTTTGGCCAATCTCAGTGTGGTTCAAACTTCAAAGCGATGAAACTCCTGTGGCCACGACTGCCACAGATGTGAAGGATGCGTGTCAAAGCACCAACCAGCTGAAGGCGAGTCCCGGGCTCTGGATGTGGGCCCACAGAGCTGTGTAGGAAAGTGCCACCGAGCCGGCCTTGCCTCGACCGAAAGACCCTGCGATGTTTCTCGTATTGTGGATCAAGGATGCCCAGGATGTAGATGCACATAAAGGCAACCGTTTGTGCATATGTTGCCTCGCTTTTATGAGAATGAGGTCCTATATATAGTTAAATTAAGTTATATATGTATATACATGTATATACTACCTGATGTATTTGCCTGCCGTTGAACAGAGAGACGCTGTCCATAGCCCTTGGGAAGTGTTGCCCCTGCCAGGCTGAGGAGAAGCTTCTCCTCGAGAACTTCCCTTTGTTCCTTCTCATGCTTGCAAACAAGACCCATGCTGGCCAGGTGAGGTGTTGGTTTGAGTTATTTTTGTTCATAAAGACAACAACCATAGTGATCCATAATGTGAAAAATGTGTGAAGTTGTTGGAAATGTGGGGTGCGGTGCCAAAGTGATATCGAAAGAACTTGGTACGAAACCGTCAAGATAACAAGGAGTCTTCAAGTTGAGTTTGTGATCTGGAGGAAGTCGCCATGTTGCTGGGGTTGAACGTCAGAATGTGTCTATGCAGCCGCTAGAGTTGCGCTTTTTGCGAGGCCTGCCCAGTGCTGCAGGACCGAGTGGTGCGCCCAGTATACAAATATCTAGAAAGGACTGCAGAGGTGCTACGACACTGGAAAGGATGAAGTCACGTGGGGATGGGTCAAAACCTGGAACCTGACCAGTCCACCATGTGGCGAACAACCAAGACCATGGTCAACCTGGGCGTTGCTCCTGTCGCCGAGAAATGGCCGGTCTCAGGTCTCGAACGTCGGCGTTCATGGAGGAAGGAGAGTGATAAGACTGATAGGCGACCAATTGAGACTGATGGGTGCCTTTCGTCTCAGGTGGTGTTGCTTTTCCAGCGCATCAATGCGATTGCTTGCCTGGATCCTCTGCTGTGCTGTTGTTCCTTCTACTGATTCACTGATGAAATACTGGTGACAGCTGCATCATTTTGTGTCACTAGTGTTCGCACATGATGTGGTTTCATCAGAGCTGCATGTCAGGCCTCAAGCTTCTTTGGCCTGAGGAGGGAATCGTCTTTTAACCCGATGACAAGATGAACTGAGTGATCTGAGTAACTCAGGCACTTCCACTCAAGCGCCACGCTTTGGCCTGGCAAAGGAAGCCTTGCTCCCCTTGTAACTTGGTTGAAACAGATGGAGTCACCAGGTTTAATTGATGTTAATTGGTCGGTTCGTGGTAAGATTCACTAAGACATACCAAGACGAAGAAGATTGCGCCATATCACAGGTTGGGACATGCGGAATTTCCACGCATTTGAAGGGAAATGGATTATTCATGTGCCGATCTCGGCAAGGCACGTTGAAAGGTTGCAAGGAACATGACGAAGATGGATGGCCATCCTGAGCTTCCTTGAATGATATGTGCTTTTTCATTGAGTAATTTTGACAGTCTGTGCATGTTTATGCAATCAACCCGGAACGTTTGAATCGTTGTTATGCACTGGCAACTGGTGAGAGAGTTAGAGGCTTGTCAATGTTGACCCACTTCTAACAGAGCTGCATGTCATTTTTGGACATATTCGCAAGCCATGTCATGTGCACATCGTACGTCCTTTGTAATAACCTCGTGTCCAGCTTTGTGTTTGTCCCAGCCTGGTGTCCAAGCCCGAGTCAAAGCGAGTCAGTGCGATGGGGCGTGAGTTGTCCAAGGTCTCGCGAAAGCACCCGACGCACGAGCATTCAGTCCTCCATGTGCCCGGGAGAGTTTGGAAGATTTCGGCGAAGATCGGAGAATGAAAGGAAACTTCCAATGAAATCATTTCTAGGAAAGATGGCCTCCAACGGCCTCCCACCTACTAGTGATTTGGCTTCCAACCTAAGATGTGCTAAGCAGTCCTTCTACTCGGGAAGCCATGTACACAAGCTTCTTGTGAAAGAACCGATTGCTAGGGGCCTGAGCAAGGTTCTGTTTGTATAATCAAAGCGAAAAAGCGACTTCACACAGATTCCACTTTCGAGACTCACATGGCCTAGCCCGTCGCATTCGCAGTTGGCAGGCTTCCACCCCAATTTTGCAAAACTATCAGGATGGAGGAGCCGCGGCGGCATGACGAAGCTGGTCTTTCTTGGGATGAGCTTTTAAGTTCGACCTTCTAGCTTCTGAGCTGGACAGCAAACGAACCGGATTCACAGAGTGCGCACACACAATTTGTGGTGCCCGAATTGCCACAAAACCACTTGCTAGAAATACGTTTATGAACCAAGATCGTCACGGCTGCTTTTATTTTATCGCTCCTTCGAATCTATGATTGATGCACTTTGTGCAACTGATTCATGCAATCTTGTAAATAACTCAAGTGATCCTGTGCGTTAATGTAACAATCCATCATTCAAAGAAAAAGCATAATCAATTAATACAAACAATTTCAATCTAAATAATCTAGTCAGATATAACAATATCAATCTTGATGACAATCTGATTAAATATATATGGAGTCGGTAGGAACGGACGCCGAAATGTGTCATAACCTCGAAGTGGTGGGGCTCAAAGTCGGTGCATGGGGCCAAGGAGCTGCCATGACCGACCCGAGCGTATGCCTGAAAAGGCTGTTGGACATGGGTTGGCAAAGATCCACCTTAGCCTTCTTCGATGCCATGCCGCGTGACGAGGTGGTTGGACTTCTCCCCGGCATTGCAGATGAGTGGGGAGACGATGAGCACGCATGGTTGCTTCGGGAGGCTAAACGCCAGAAGGTTAAGCTGGACATCGAAGACCACACGTTCCTTCAGCATCAACGATTGCTGTTCCGGGATCAGTCCTACATCGACCGCAAGATCGAGGGCACCCCCTATGGCGAAGCTCATGCTGGGCTCACCTTGGCTAAGGTGAGGAAAGCGCTTCCCCGGGTATCCTGGAAAACCCGGGCTGACAAGATGCTTGGCAGTGGGCCCAGTGATGAACTCCGCCAACAGGTGGAAGAAAAGGAGCGTGACCGGTGGATCAAGAAGTTGGTCCTGCTCTTGGAGGTGTCTGGACTGGTGGACACCGTGGAGAGAAAGCCCGAGCGGTACAAGTACTTCGCAAGTCGCTATGCGATGGGTCGCCGGGCATCGACCTTGCGCCAGCATATCAGGTATGGCAGTCAGCTGCAGGAGTACATGGAGGGAGTGTTCGGTGAGAGGTGGCTCAGGCATGAAGGCGATTTAATTGCCTACATATCCCTCCGCATGGAAGAACCTTGCGGCAGATCCGTGCCGGGGCCATTGTTTCGTGCAGTCGCATTTCTCGAACTGTCGGCTGAGGTACCTGAAGGCCAGCGCATCTCGGCATCTGCGCTCCAGCATTTTCTTTAGAAACAGAGCGCAGCAACGCCTGGCTGCCAAGGAAGACGGTCAAAGCTGCATGGTTGACTGTGGCCATGGTGAAGGCACTTGAGGAGGCGATCATGGACGTTAGTCTTCAGAACTTCAAGAGGGTGTTCTGTTGGCGCAAGCTCATCAAGCTTTGGGGCGCGCTTCGTTGTCACGACTCGGAGGGGGTTCCGCCGTCGTCGATCAAGTTCGATCCGCAGGTCGGCGTCGAAGCAGAGATCCATACCCTAAGTCACCGAAATTAGTAAATTTACATTTTTATTGGATTTACGTAAATTGATGAATTTAGGTGGCAAAAAGTGTAAATGGGTTAGTAAATGTAAATTTGATTTAGGTACAACCTAAATTTATTTAGGTTGGTCTTCAGTAAGGGTTTTCCTATTTTTTCATTACGTTTTGATTTGCAAATATTCAAAACTGCATCTAAAACACATCTTTTGAAGAAAGTAATTTGTAAAACATATAGCCACAAGTAGAGACACTTGGATAAAACCACAAGCACACACACACTCAGGTATAAGCACGCAGGAAAGACAAGCACAAGAAAAATAACTTGGGTATAAGCACCATGAGCTTTCCATCCTTTGTCCTGTCCAGGACTTGGTTCACTATCTTGCGCTGTTCTTCTGCGCGTCCCTTCTTCATGCTCAAGGTCTTCTTCCAAGCCTGCGCAACATAGTCTGGCAGAGAGCCCTCAGACAACAAGGCCTTGAACTTGTTGTCCTTCGACCTGTCCTTCTTGGCCTCATCGCACTCGAAGAAGTCTGCATTGTCCTGCTCCTCCTCCTCCTCCTCCTCCACATTCTCTTGGTTCATCCTCTTCAACTTCTGGCGCTTTCCTCCTCCTGATCCTCCTGCAACCCTGCTGCCCAGCCATGAGCTGCTGGCTTCTTCTTTGGCTGTACGGTTTCTCCACTGGCAGCAGGCCTTTTCAAAGAGCCTGCCTTTGGCTTTGGCTTTGGCTTGCTCTTTCCTTTTGCTTTGGGCTTCTTCCCTTTAGGGCTCTTTGCTTTTGGGCTCTTGGATTTTGGTGTCTTTGCTTTGGAAGCTGGCCTTTGCTTCACAGGTGTACTGGGCTCTTCAACTACACCATCGTCCTTCTCCTCAGGAGTGACTTGGCCCATGGGAATCTCTTCCTCTGCCATGCCAATGCCAACAAGCTACTGCACCTATCTTTCAAACCTTTCAAAGCTCTTTGAGATCAATCTAGCTGCAAAAGTAAACAACAACCAATAAGCCAGCTGTGCAGTAAACTCTCAACAACTTCAATTTGAACAACATACAACGCTGATCAACTCTTTGTGCAAAAGCATTACCTTCTCTAAAGGATAAACCAACTTCAATTTGAACAACATACAATGCTGATCAACTCTTTGTGCAACAGCTTTACATTCTCAGGTAAAGGATAAACCAACTTCATATTGAACAACATAAAATGCTGATCAACTCTTTGTGCAAAAGCATTACATTCTCAGGTAAAGGATAAACCCACAAGAATGCTAGATATCTTTTTGCTGACAATATGATGCAGAATATCATGGCTTTTCATAAAATCTGTCAAAAATTGTATGAATTTTTGATGCACTTTTGATGCACTTCTGATGTACTTTTCAAAAGTGTATACACTTTTAACAAAAGTGTATACACTTTTGATCAAAAGTGTATACACTTTTGAAAAGTACATCAAAAGTACATCAGAAGTGCATCAAAAGTGCACCAAAAGTTCATCAAGAATTCATCAATATTTTCTCTTAAATTTATAGTTTTTTGAACTAAATTTCATAAATATATTTCAAATACACTTCAACTCACAACAAAACTAAACAAGACTAAGCGCACAATTCCAAGTTGAATGGCATCCTCATGTAAAGTATACTTACACAAAGTCTCAACCATTGAAGTAAAATACACTCAAGTAAAACCATCCTCAAGTAATGTCTGCCATGCTCAAGTAAAGTGTGCCATGCTCAAGTAAAGTCTGCCATGCTCAAGTAAAGTGTGCCATGCTCAAGTGAAATCACATCCTCAAGTAAAAGCTCAACAGGTAAAGTCACACCCTCATGTAAAAGCTTCTCAAGTAAAGTCAGATCTTCTTCATGTAACAGCTTCTCAACATCATGTCACAATGCGTGCCCTCAACTCTACCCCAAAGGCTGCTTGTGTCTTTTTCACTCCAAGGATTCCAGAGATGAACTGCTGTCATCTTGCAGCGTCCTCATCAAGTCCATCATGGCATTGATGCGGTCACGCCTCCTGACAATGGTTTCAAGCCAACATTGACATAACTCTTGTTCATTTGCTGCAGTTAATACAAACTTGAACAATTAATTTTCAACAAACAAACTTGTTTAAAGTTCAGTCCAAGAATCTTGTCAGCTTTGCGCAATTTCCTGGCCCTTTCACTGCTTGTTTCCTTCTTGCTGAGGTGTCTCTTGTTCTTCTTCTTTTTCTTCTTCTCACAGAGCCAAAACATAAAACATGCACCCTCACACTGGCAAAAACCATCAGAGAATCAGAGAATGCTCTTCTTCCTAAAGTGAAGAAAAGTACATATCCTCAAGTAAATTTACTCCCTCAAGTAGACACCCTCAAGTAAAAATGTTTTGTTCAAGTCAAGAAGGGTACACATGCTCAAGTAAATGCAATCCCTTCAAGTAAAGGCAAAGTCCACACCTCCTGGCATGCTCAGTCAACAAAAACAAAAATCCATAGCGCAAATATCCTCAAGTACATGTTGTCCTGTAGAAAACCTGCCTCTTTGGAGAAAGCCAACTCACATAAATAGAGACTTTTTCTGCTTCAAAATCATGCTCACAAAAATTTACTCATAACCTAAAAAATTTACTAATAACCTAAATTGGATTTACTAATAACCTAAATTGGATTTACTCATAACCTAAATTGCATTTACTATTAAATTTACGTAAATTTTTACGTAAATTTGCCTTAGTAAAACCAAAAATTTACGTAAATTTTATGGTTAGTAAAATTACTAATTTGGGTGACTTAGGGTAGGAGCAAAACCACGGGGACGGGAAAGCACATCGAAATCATACAGTTTTACATCTCCAAGAATTGTTGGCTGCGCCGCAAGGAGTGGCTTCAGGTGGGAATGGAAATCTACACAACCATGGCCAGGAGGACGTCACCTGACTAAGGACTTCTTCATGCCGGTCCCGGACGAGACCTTGGGGAACTTTCGAAAGCGGATGATGAAGTATCCGGACGCAATGGCATTCATGTGGACGGAGCTCCAGTCGAATGTCAAGGATGGCGCAGGCAGGTTTCTCCCGCTGCTGAGGCCAGAGTCGAGCTCCTACTGGTCCGAGCAATCGGAGCGGGTGACGATCATCGGCTGGGCAGCGGTCATTGGAGTGGACAAGGAGATCAGGAGACGATGGGGCCGCTGGAAGCCATCCGTGGATGAAGACTATGTCACCACCACACGCAAGATGGTCCACACGGCACAGAAGGAGGTGGCGGGCAGGATTCGGAGGCAGCACGGCACCCTCGATGTGGTGGACGATCGGTCCGTTGTCAACAACTTCACGGTGTGGTTGCAGGACGTCCACCGCAAGACGGTTTCGGAGGCCAACCTGGAGGGTCAGTGCATTGCGCCCGACCACTGGGGTTCGCCGCCAAAGGTGGTGAGCCTGAAGAGCACCTCGGAGAGGGCTGCAAGCGAGGGGTATGTCCCGACATCACCTACATCGAACCTGGACATCGCGGAGGATTCGCCCACGGAGATCTTCGAGGAAGAAGAGCACGCTGATCTGCCGGAGGCG